CCACGGCGCGCGCCCTCACCTCTCCCGTCGCCGCGCGTGGGCCGCCGCCGCGCTCAGGCTCGCCGTCGTCGAGGCCAGAGCAGGGTGCGGGAGAGTCGGACCCGCGCCGGAGAGAGCCGCCACCGCGCCGGGACGAGCCCACCGCACCCGCCGCAGCGCCGCCGCCGCTTCAGCTTCCAAGATGGCCGCTCACGGGGAGGGCCAGGCCGCGTTTCCGCTTCCGGGGTGCGGAGGAGGCCGCTCTAGGCGGTGGTGGCCGACTGCTCCCGTCTCACTGCCGGGTTAACAGATTCGGAAGGCTGCGTAACGTGGACGTCCGAGGTCTGTCGTTGCGAATGCAGGTGGCAAGGACTCTCCTGGCTGGATCCCAGGGCGGGCGTCCCGCAGCCAGAACACTCTCCCGGCGGGCGGACGCGGACAGTGGGGAGTCAGTGAGAGGCCAGAGAAGGCCCTGCAGCCCCACGCTCCCGCTCTATTCCAAGCTACCAGTTCTGGCGGAGAGAAGGCCAGCCAGGGTAGTAGTTCCCAGGAGGACAGGCCCAGTGAAAGGGTGGTCCTGGGAAAGACCCCCGACTCTTACTCCAGCCACTTTCCCAAGCATCAGCCCAGTCTGAGTTGGGGACCCGGAGTTTTGTCCTCATTTCCTATTTAACAGGAGAACACAGAGGTCACCAGTTCCTCAGTGACCAAACCCACCTGCAACCTTTCCAGGCCCCCCACAGGGTCTCTAGGAATCAAGTCCACTTGTCTGGCCACACATGAGGCATGGTGACCTCAAGCCCCCCTGGAAAACCTGCCCTAGGTGGAGTCTGCACGGGCAATCCTACACAACCCCATAACCTCCGTGGGGAAAATATGCTCTTAAAAATACTCCACTGTTTCCTTACCCGCTGAGTTTTCCACTCAGCTCGTGAATAGGGTCATTGTGCACCAGTGGACATTGAGCTTGTTTTCTGCTCCCACAGTCCCCTCCCTTGCCCTGGGGTGTTGGGGAGGCACAGCTGGCCACCAGCCATCGGGTGCGGAACTGAGCAGGGAGGTGGCATGTGGGGAAGTGGGGGCATCCAGAGAGCAGAGGGGGACTGGTCCCTAGGAATGGCATCACTGCAGCCCTGAACCCCTGCAGACCACTAGCTCAGACCATCTCCAGGCCAAGGCTTGGTCCATGGCCAACATCTCCCAACTTGGACCCAGCCATGCTGACCACCCCCTACCTTTGCATTGGCACCAAGAGCCCGCCCTGGGTTGGCTGAGAGTCAAGTGCCCAGATGGGCTCGCCAAGGCCTAGATACCTTGTGTTCAGGGAGATGGGTGAACAAATGTGTGAACATGTGTGAATATTTTGTATCCCATGACCTCAGCCCAGCATCCTTCCTTACCCCCTTTTGCCTGCTGAGCTCACAATTCACCTCTGACCCCTCCAGGATGCCTTTCTGGCAGTCCCTCACTTACTGAATTTGCCTGTAGACCCCTGCCCCCCCCAGGGCAGAGTACCAAGCACAAGGGTATCTGTCCTCTCACATCTGCACATCTGACTCAGGATGTTTGGGTGGACATGAGGGTGGCTGACAGGTGGGTAGGTGGACAGTCGGGGTGGAATTGTTGATGACTGGACGGAGGGAGGGCTGGGCAGGCAAGCACAACCTACCATTGTGAGAGGCAGCCAGGACAGGGCCAGGCAGGGACTTGGGATGCTTCCACTTGTTGTCCCAGGAGGCCTCTGCCCTTGTGGTCTCCACAGTAGCAGAGATGGATACCAACAGCAGGAGATGCTGGCTGGCAGCCCCCACTAATGCTGAGAGAAGGGGCTCATTGGGGGCTCCTGGAGGGCTCATCACTGTGCTGAGCCCTAGAGAGCTGGCCTTTGAATTAGCCCATAACCTCAACCCTACTTTCTCTAGGGATCAACCTAGCTGGTCTGAGAAGTGGCTGACCATGTGACAATTGAGGGCACCTAGAGACCCAGCCTTCTGCCCAGCCACTAGCAGAGAGTGGGTGGGCTGGCAGCCACCCTGGCCCCTGAGCCCATGGAGAGCACATCAGGGCCCGGCAGGAGCCCAGGTGCCTGCCTGCTTGTGTGTGCATGTCTGATATTACAAGCCAGTCCCTGGGAGCCTTCTTGGTCTCACGCTTTCCTCCATCCTCCACCCCAGAGCCTTGTCACCTTCAGAAAGAGTGGGTGGTGCCGATTTTAGCTCATGGCATATTATATAAGGGGGCCACCAAGGGCACTGAAAGCATGGCACAGGATGTCCAGGAAACCCACACATACTTTTAAATCACAACCAGGTGAGGAGACAGGCCAGAGGCCTCTCCTGCTTCCATGCATCACCACTCCTGTACAAAATGGGGTACAGAGTCCCTGCAGGAGTTTGAGAGGGTCCTGCAGAGCAGTGAATTACTTAATATGGCCCTTCTAGCCATTGTCTTTGGGATTTCCAGAAAATGATTGGGTGGGGCTAGGCAAATAAGGTGCTGATGGCCCACTAAGGGCATTGGATAGCTTGCTGCTAATGCAAATAAGGTGAATGGAACCTGTGGTGGTTATGGTTATGTATCAACTTGACTGTACCATGATTTTCAGTGGTTTGACAGTTATGTAATTATGTAATTTGGCAGTTATATAATGATGTAATTATCCTCCACTTTGTGATGTACCTGTATGTCTGCGGTTATCGTCCTGTTTGGAAATGAGCTGTCAGTTATGTTCATGAATCAGGGTTAGGGTGGGGTGTATCTTGAGTCACCACCTTACTAGAGTTTGTTACTCAAATCACCGTCATTTTCCCAGTCACCACCCTTCACACCCTTGCTGAAGTATGGGGAGTTTCTTTGAAGATATGGTTTGCATCTAATATACTATGAGTGTTCTGGCAAAGTTCTCTCTCTTGCTCTGGGCCCTGCATCTGGCTCATCATCATCTGACCTCTGGGTCTTAGAACTTGAGCCAGCAGCCTGTCATCTGACCTGCCCATTTGGCTTCATCAGCCCCTGCAACCACGTGAGTCAAGAGAGGCCTCCACAACTGCATAAGTCATTTCCTGGATGGTTCTTGAATTCTATGAAACAGTATATCAAATTATGGAACCCAAAGATTGGAGGGAGAGTACTGAAGGGAGGAGGAGTAGTTGATGTTAGAGATGATGGAATGGTACAGCAGTTTGGAAAAGTTGGACATTTAGGACAACTCATGGGAACCAGCTTTGTGCTAAACCTTATAAAGGAAGTTAGTCATGCAGTCTCCCTGTGCAGGCTACTCACTGAGCACATCTGAGACAGGTGTGGCCACAGGTGCTCCCCAGGCCTGCACCCCTCATCCTACCAACCCCACACCTGTTGCCCCCTAATCAGCAGACTCAGGCCCCTAGCCATTGAGTTGGTGGTCTCAGAATCAGGACGGGGCATGGGCATCTGGGTGGCTAGCTGCCATTCAGGTGATGACTAGGAACTCTTAGGCCCCAAAGCCACACTTCAGCAGAAGACCCTCTTGTGGAGTCAGAGAGGCTAGAAGAGCCCTCAGGAAGGACTTCCTGCCAGTGTGCACTAAGCAGCCAGCATGATTGGAGCAGCTCTGCGATGGCCGCGCTGCAGAAAGGGGGCAGCAGTGGCCACTCCTCCCCCCACCTTGAACAGAGGCTCTTGTGTCCCAACAGCTGCCAGGAAGCTGGAAAGTGAGAGCCAAGAACTACCCTCCAATCGACTGTCTCTGCCCCCAGGGCCAGACCTGAAGACATTGGTCATATATGACCAGTGCATGCAATCTGGCCGGGCTAAAGGAAGGGCACCAAAGAAGGCCTGGAGGTGGCTGGGGGGAAACCTGCACCCCCATATCCCAGCCCCTTCCCACAGGCCCTGACAGTGGGAGGTGGGAGACACCTAGCAGGCCAACAGCTGCTCAGCCACACACTCCATGAACACAGCATGTAAGGCCTTGCCCTAACAGTATGGTCTGTGCTAGGAATGGTCAAGACCTTCAGGGGCACCAAGGAGGCTCCCCACCCACTTAGGGGCAGAGACCCAACATCATCCCCTGGCTCACCCCACCCCAACCCCAGGCTCCAGCCCAGGAATGCAGAGCCCAGGGGACCAGATAGAGGCTGAGGACTGACTCCAGACCGTCCCCAAGCATGGGATTCCTGATGGGGCAGTATTCAGCATAGGGTCCCATGTGACACCCAGGGCACCCACAGTCTCCAGGCAACCCCTCATTCCTCCCAAGGCCGCCACCTCTAAGGACAGAAGGCCAGAGTTTGGTACTGTGCTCAGTAGGTGGCCAGAGAGGGCAGAGGGCTGAGGGCAGCCAGGGATGCACTCGTCCACTCACTTGGCACCTTCACCTCTTCTCACTACAGACCAGTGAGCAGTGAGCAGCATGACCTGGCCTCCTGCCAGGGGCCAGAATATCCATCCTACCCCAGCCACAGTGCCTTCTGCTCCCCTGGGGGCCAGTGGGGGCTTGGGAGCAGGCAAGGGGGAAGGGCCAGGAGGGAGGAAAGGGAGGACCTTTTGGCCTCATTGGCACTAGAGGAAGTCTCTGTGCTGGGGGGCAGGGTGACAGGCAGCAGAGACACCCCCACACACACCACCACCCACTCAAGCTTATGCTCCTGACCACCTCCTAGCATCTCCCCAGGCTCAGAGCTGGGTCATGGTACACAGTGGCTGAAGCCTCTTAGCCCTCTGACAGCTTCTCTCAGGGGTGCCTGAGCATTTCCCGAAGCAGAGGTGAGGAGGGTAGACCAGATTGGATGCTTCCTGCAAGCTGAGCTCTGACTCAGGGTCTGCATGCCCCTGCCCTTATCTGGAGCGCCCATTCCCACAGGAGGGTCACGCCTCTGCTCCCTTTGATCTCCCTTGGTCTGCACTGGGCACCCCCACCTCTCCCAGGAGACCCAGTAGGCTTGCAGCCCCACTGCTCTCCTGGAGTTCACTGTTGCAAATGCAACCTTGTGATACTGAGAGATGCAGGTTGCTCCAGTTTTAATTACCCAGATAGAGCCCGGGGTCCCTTCCTCTGCTTCCACTGATGGCCTCCCTGGGCAACACGCACCCCCAATCAGCTTGACACTGTGATCTGTGGTTCACAGACCCACCTCTGGTGTAGAGGGATGCCAGAGACACCCTGGCCTGCACCAAGTCTGGGTCACTACACACTCAACACAGCTGGTCCAACCTCTGACTTTGTGCCCTTGCACTTGAGGAAATGGGTGCAGACAGATTGAGCAATTTGGGCACGTCACACAACTGGTCAGTGACAATGCTGTGATTTGCACCCAGGTCTGGGTGAACTAGGGCCCAGTTCCTTCCCACATGATTTCCCCTCCTGTGACTTCACAGAGGCTGTCTGCCTCCTTCTAAGCTACAAGGGCTGTGATCACACCTTCCCTCAGAGCCCAGGTTCTCAGCACCTATTGGGGTGTCATACCTGAGCCCAGTCCTCAAGTTTGGGACCAGGCTGAGGGTCTGAGCCTTTGGGATGGTGAGACTATTGTGTCATCCTATAGGCTATATTGGGTATCCAGTGGGGCCAGAGACAGTGGTGGTCTTAGGGGGGATAAGGACACCTGGTCATCCTGAGGAGACAGGGACACTTTACTGTCCTGTGGACATAGGGATACTTGGTTTTCCTGGAGGGATGGAGACACATGGTCAACCTGGGGGTCGTTCTGGGGGCACAGGGACATCTTATGATCCTGCTTTCAGCACATCACTGGATACACACAATCACACGTAGACTGAGGACTTCAGCCTCAGAGACAGTGTGATTTGGACCCTGTGTGTGGTGTGTCATCTTAGAACGTAGTGTGTGGTGTGCGGATTTAGCATGTGATTGATATGTGGACTTAACATATGATGGGTGATTTTAGTGTCATCTTAGTGGCATGTGGTCTTATTTAAAGTGTGTAGTGTGTATATGGTCTTACATGTGGTGTGTGGACTTAGTACATGATATGTGGTCTTAGTGTGTAGGGTGTGGTTTGCGGGTATGGTGTCTCAGCATACAACATGCTATCTTAGTATATGGTATGTGCACTTAGTATGTGGTGTATGGTCTTTGTGTATGGTATGTGTACTTAATATGTAGTGTGTAAATGTTATGGATTGAATCGTGTCCCAAAAAATATATGCTGTAAATCCTAACCTCTGTGTTATAAATTTGGGAATGGGCTGTCTTTATTATGTTAATTAAGACTGGATTAGTATAGGGTGTGTCTTAAATCAATCTCTTCTGAGATATAAAAGAGATTAAACAAACAAGTAGAGATGGAGGAAGGTAAATGCCAAGCCACATGAAGATCACCCAGGAGCTGAAGCTCAAAAGAAATAAAGACCTTCTTCCAGAGGTGACAGAAGAAAGCCTTCCTTCAGAGCCAGCACCCTGAATTTGGACTCCTTGCCTCCTAAACTGTGAGACAATAAATTTCCATTTGTTAAAGCCATCCATTTTGTGGTATTTCTATTAAAGTAACACTAGATAGCTAAGATAGAATTTGGTACCCAAAAGTAGGGGTGCTACTCTAACAAATACCTACAATGTGGACATAATTTTGGAGTTGGGCAATGGGTGGAGGCTGGAAGAGTGTTTAGGTACCTAATAGTAAAAGCCTAGATTCAACAGCCTTGAAGAGTCTGTTGGTAGAATTATGAACGTCAAAGGCAATTCTGGTGAGGGCTCAGAAGGAATTGAGGAGAGCTATAGAGAAATCCTCTATCATTTTAGAAAATACACATAAAAACCCAAACCAAACTCACTGCCATTGAGTCAGATCTGACTCATAGCAACCCCTCCTTAAGTTTCCAAGGCAGTATCTCTGCAGAAGTAGATTGCCCAGTCTTCCTTCCAAAGAGTGGCTGGTGAGTTTGAACTGCCAGCCTTCTGGTTAGCAGTCAAATCCCTTAGGCACTATGCCACCAGAGCTCAAAAAAAAAAAAAAAAAAAAAACCATATGGCACTAGCAATAGAATACTGCTAGAAATGTGAATGTTAAATGTGCCTCTGGTAAGGCTTTAAAAGAAAATGATGAACACGTTATTAGACAATGGAGGAAGGGTGATGATTTTTTAAGCAGTGGCAAAGAACTTGTCTGAATTATGCTCAAATGTTTGGAAGAAGGTAGAACTTGTCAGTGATCAACTTGCATATTTAGCTGAGGAGATTTCTAAGTAAGATCTTAAAGGAACCGCATGGTTTCTCCTTACCACTTATAAGTGAGTAAAGCATGAGAAGAAAGAGAGAGACTTAAAAATGAACTGTGCAAAATGAAAACAAAACTTAAAGATTTGGAAAATTCTGTTGCACAAACTAAGGATATATGTCTCAGAATGGTCAACCAACAATGTGGCTACACAATCTTTTGTTAAAGAGAGAAAACCTGTGAGTGATGGATCTAACCAACTACCACAGCAGAAAACCCATCAACTTGGACTGAAGGGGACAGAGAAAGAATGAAAGGAGAGGATACTGTCTGATTCTTGGAATTCTGGAGGCAGGAAACAGGCCAAAGGAGCTACAGGTTTTCCTTCAAGAAAAGAAAAAGACCATCCCTGGAGGAGCTCAGAGATCGGCAGAACCGTTGGAAGAAGTGTTCTGGTTACTTCAGTGCTGCTCTAACAGAAATACCACAAATGGGTGGCTTCAACAAATAGGAGTTTATTCTCTTACATTTTTGGAGGCTAGAAGTCCAAGTTCTAAGTGTCAAGCTCTAGGGGCTGGGTGAAAGCCCCTCGATGTTGGGCTTCAGCTCTGCCTCTTGCTCCCGGCCCACTGATGCTGGAGCTTTCTTCACTCAGGCAGCTGCTGGCTGCTAAGGCTGACAGGCCCAAGGTCGACAGGTAAACAGGCACAGTCTTGTTTTGGTTTTGATATTACCATTGATTCAAGTCCATTAAGAATCCCAAGATTGGCAGACAACATGGCAGGCTGCTGAATAATGACTTGGCCACATGCAGGATTCAAGCATCCCAAAAGCCACAGACCATTCCTAAAGCTTCTCCTTGTATACGGGAAGCAGACCACATCCCTCAGGCAGCTACTCACCTGCTTACAGTTGATTCTACCATGGAGTTGATTACCAGTCTCATCATGAGGAATACTACATCCAGCTTCCCAGCCACTCAAAACCAGGCCCAGCCAAGTTGACCTTAACTACCACCCACGGGAAGCAGGGCTGCATTGGTTTAAAAAAGCAGAGTCATGGCCTCCTAGGTTTAAAAGAGTCACTTCTTCACCAACTCTCTTCCAGAGTATGGGTCTGCCATACCCAAGAGCCAAGGAGGTGAGGCCCCTGTCCAAAGCCAAGGGGTCAGGGCTGCCATGGCAGAAGAATGGGACCTACCCCAGGCAAAGGGGGTGGGGTTGCCACTCAGACTAGGAGATGGGGCCCACCCAAAGCCAATGGAGCAGAGTTTACTGTGCATTGATTGAAGGCAGAACTGAAGTACAAGGCCAAGGGGCCTCCACTCAGAATCAAGAGAGCATGTCCAACACCCAGAGTCTAGAGGGTAGGGCCGTTGCCCAGAATGTCTCAAAGAAGAGAGAATTCTCTTCAAGCCTTCAGAGCTAATGTAAATTATTCTTCTGGATTTTAGACTTGCTTGGTGCCCATTCTCCCTTCTTTCCTCCAGTTTCTCCTATTTGTAAAGGAAATGTCTGCTTTGCACCTGTTCCCATTGAAGTTTGGAAACAGATAACGTGTAGTCTAGATTTCATAGGTTCACAGATGAAGAGTTTTGGCCCAGGATGGAATACCCCAAGGTCAAGTAAGTCTCACTCATATTTGATTTAGATTATTCAGAAGATAAGATTTTGCACTTGGAGTTGATTTAAGACTTTTGGGATGATGTGAAGGGGTAAATATGTTTTGCATGTGGCAAGGACATGAATTTGGGGGGCACCAAAGGAATGTTACAGATTGAATTGTATCCCCCAAAATATATATGTTGTAAATCTTAATCTCTACGCCTGGGGTTGTAATCCCAGTTAGTAATGGCATGTCTTTGAAGCAGAATTAGTGTCAGGTGTGCCTTAAATCCATCTCTTTTGAGCTGTGAAATAAATTTAATAAGCAAAAGCAGCCGAGGTGGCAGAGGAGAGATGCCAGGCCGCATGAAGATTGCCCAGAAGCTGAAGCTCAAAAGAGACAAGGGTCTTCCTCCAGAGCCCACACAGACAGAACCTTCCTCGACAATTCATACCCTGGATTCAGATGTCTAGCCTCCAAAACTGTGAGGAAATAAATTTGCTTGTTAAACCCATCCACTTGTGGCATCTCTAACAGCAGCATGAGCTAACTAAGACAATGGTCTTAAAGGGTGTGTTTTGGTTGCCTCTTTGCTGCTCTGACAAGAAAATACCACAAATGGAATGGCCTCAACACACAGGAGTTTATTGTCTTACAGCTGGGAGGCTAGAAGTCTGCGTTCAAAGTGCCAGGCTCTAGGGGCTGTGTGAAAGCCCCTCGACCTTGAGCTTCAGCTCTGCCTCTTGCTCCTGGCCCACTGAAGCTAGAGGCATCTCTTCACTCAGGCATCTACTGGCTGCTGAGGCTAACAAGCCCAAGGTCGACAAACAAAATGGCACAGTCCTGATGTTATCAAACCACACAGCAGGCTATTAATTCAAGTCCACTGAAAGTCCCAGGAGTGGCAAAGCATGGCAGACTGCTGAACAACGACTTGGGTACGTGCAGGCTTCAAGCGTGCTATAAGCTAGAGACCATGCCCAAAGCTGTTTCTTATATACAGGAAGCAGACTACATACCCAAAGCAGCTATTCAGCTGCCCAGCCACTCAACTAGGCCCAGCCAAGTTGACACACAAACTTAACCACCACAGTACGGCATGGTCTTATCATGGGATGTGTGATCTTAGCGTGTGGTTTGTCACCTTAGTGTGTGCTGTGTGGTCTTAGTGTATGGTATGGTTGCTGGTGGCATTAGCTCCTAGTGGGGAGGCTGGGCTGTGTACCTACCCAGGGGCACCAGGTGCTTTCTCCACCAGGTCCCAGGTTGTTCCCTCAACTGGCACCCATCCCAGTGGCTGGTTCTGTAGGACACCTTGGTGCTGGAAGCAGACAGGCCAACCCCCACCCAGCATTTTCCCCCCTGTGAACACTTGTCAGAGTTGGGAGCATTAGCTGGGCAGGAGGAGGGGGCAGAAAGAGCAGGTGTTGAACCTTGTGCTTCACTTATGTGCCACAGGGAATCTGAGCTCCAGGGCTGGACTTGGTCTACTCAGGACAGGCACACCAGGCATCTAATGGGGTCCTAGCCTAACACATGCCTCTCTTCTCACTCCCTCTCCAGCTAAGCCAGGCTTTTGGGCCCCACATCCCAGCCCTCAAAGACATACCTTTCCGGGTCCCAAGAGCAGGTGTGTCCACCCCCAGGTCCACTTGTCCCCTCCCTTGCCATCTGGCCCTGCCTGCCTGGCCTTTCATAAACAGGAGGCTGTCCAGTTGGCCTCAGGCTGCATCCCTGCCTTGTCATCTGCTGAGCTGATACCAAACCAAAAAAAGACAAACTCACTGCCCTTGAGTAGGGTCCAACCCATAGTGACCCCTCCTTGGATTTCCGAGGTGGTATCACTACCGGAGCAGATTGCCCAACGTTACTTCTGAGGAGTGGCTGGTGGGTTTGAACCGCCAGCCTTCTGGTTAGCAGTCAAGTGCCTTAGGCACTTCACCACCAGAGTTCCCACTGAGCTAATACAATTGTGCCCAATTGACAGGAGCATAGAGGCTCCTATGCCTGGGAGCTCTGGGCTTGAGGTACCTGGGTGACAGTGGTGGGGGCAATGTGGGGAGGGGGCAGGCAAGAGGAGCTCCTTGGGGCTCCCCTTCCCATAGCTCCTTCTGGGGTTCTATTAAGACAAGATCCTGATAGGGAGGATGGGGCAATCATCTTGGGGCCTTGGTTTCTTGTTCCTGAGTGGGGAACTGTATGTTCCATGTGGTAAGTGCATGGCTTGTGCTGTGGGCTGGACAGGTTCATGAAGGCACTCAGGGTGGGCACCCCCACAGACAGCATCCATCACCCACATGCCAAACAGGACACACAAGTGTGAATGCACTTGGAACCAGGCTGGGAGGAGAGGCCAGCTTGGTTCTGCCACCACACACAGACACACACAAGAGTGCAAGGGTTGGGGGTATGCGGCCCCTGCAGGGACATTGACAGAGTACCTGTTGTAGGAGAGCACAAGTGTGTGCATGTGTGTGTATATGTGCGTGTATGTGCATGCATGGGCACACCTATGCATAGGTGGGAGGATGCATTTCTGCTCTGGACTGTCTAAGGGACCTTGAGTCTCTGTGAATCTGTGCTCTATCCTAATGTCTGGGTCCCCAACCCCATCTCAAGGAAACCCCGGAGACTCTCACTGGTCCTCAAGGGCTTCTCTCCAGAGATCCCCCTTCTCCTGCTTTAGCAACCCCAGCTGTGGTGAGAGGGGTGGGGTGGGAGGAAGCTAGTCTAGGTGAAGAGTAAAAGCAATTGCAGAAGTCAGAGAGAACCTTCCAGAGCCTCCTTTGCCTCATCTGTAAGATGCAGCTGATCAGTCTTGTCTTACTTATGGGCTCAGTGCGTTCGTGGGGATGCAGGTGTGGGTGCAGCTCCATGCTGTCATGCTGTTGGGGCCCATGCTGTCAGGGTCCTAGGCTATGAGGCTGAAGGGCAAGAGCTCTGATCCTATCTTCTGCTTCTCACCCCTGAGGCCCACAACTGCTTGGCCTGTCCCTACATGCAAGTTCCCAGTATACACGTGAGCAGCCTGCTCAGGCATATATGACAGGGCACATCATGTTGGCCGAGACCCAGCAGATGCTCCCCCTTTGGCCCCTCTCTAGGGCCTGCTTAGCACCTGGGCAGCAGGAAGGGGTTGGAGCCCAGCAGGCGGCACCCTGGGCAGGCGCAAGAAGGCTCAGCTGATTCATACCGAGATGGGGACACTGTGGAAAGTCCATGGAAGTGCATGAAAGTGACTCAGAGCATGGCCAGGCCCCAGGGGCCACCTGCCTGTCTGTATGTGGGTGGAAGTTGAGGTCCAGGCCTGTCCAAGAAGGCTCACCTGGCCAGGGGACCCTGGAGTCAAGCAAGACAGCCAGGGTCCCGCAGTGGTCCCCCTTCCCTGGACTCCTGGGATTCCCACAACTGGCTGACTCCCTCGCCCACCTTGTCCTGAAGCCCAAGGCCCTGGTGAGGGACTTCCCTGGGGACTCAGCTCAGCAATGGTGCCCCTTCAGCAGTGGACAGAACTTAGGCCTGACCTTTGACCCAAATCAGGCTTCACCAGCCTGACTCCATGGGTCTTCACGGAACTGGGCTTTCTAGACTGAAGGGCTGAATGAAGGTGCCTGAGACCCAGAGAGATGAGTCTTCCCCAGGCTCTCCAGACCCCCAACATTGGGCCCTGGGCCGGTGGACACAACACAACCCCCACTGGACAGGTTTCCTGGACCCTGGATCCCCAGTGGCCCTGCTAGCCACAACTCTGCCTACACACAGGGGCAGGTGGGCCTAGAATGCTGGGTCCCTCTGCCCTCTGACCACCCTGACCACCCAAGCTCAAACGGTGGTGTTGAAAAGACAGGCCCAAGGCAATGCCTGACTGGCATCATTGGGGTTGGACCCAACTGCCTTGGGGTCCTCAGGGGCTGAGAATGGAAGTCCATCCATCCCTGGCTGGGGAGAGACCTGGCAGAACTGGAGGGGTCTGCTGAGACACTCCAGGCAGGAACTGGGACCCATGCAGCCACCACAAGATCAGGGACTTGGAGGTGCCCCGGGGCCCAGCCATCACCACCACTACTACCACCACCAGCTGAGAAGGAATACCAGGAGGGGCTGAGCTGCTTCTGTGCCAACACCACCATTCATGGCCCTAGGCACGTGCTGTGCTCTAGCCAGAGCTGCCTCCGGAGAGTGACCTGGGGGCTGCTGCTCCTAGGGGCCCCGGGCATGCTCTGCTGGAGGTGCACACTACATTACACACACTGCAGAGGTGGTCCTGGTGGGGCCTCTGCCTCCACTGAAGTTAAACTTGTACAGAGAGTAGATGTTCTCCCGTGCAAACTCATCCAGCTCCTCCAGGTACCTTCAGATGGGCCTGGGTGAGACAGGTAGGCATGTGGAGGCAAAGCCACAGCCCTGAAGTTCCTTATACTGGTCCCTGGGGTATTACTGGAATGAGCTGCCAAGTCACCATGATGGTGTCCATGCACTGGGGCAGCAAGCTCTCCCTGGTGGTCACGCTGTGTGACATGAACCCACACCGGTGAGGGTGAGGGTAGGGGACCAGAGAGAAAGTAGGGGGCTGGGCTGGGGCCAGTGAAGGGGGCATTGGGCCCAGGCCAACAACGGGGGACAATACCACTCCTGGCAGCCTGTGGGTATCCCCTCAAATAGCCTCAGTCAGCAATGATCCCATTACCCCCAGCCCTGTGTCCAGCCCAAAAACTCTTAGACTTCTGCCCAGGGGATGGAGTTCCAGCCCAATGTGACCAGTATGTCCCCAGGTGCTGGGGAGGGGGACACTTTCCAGAAGGGCATCCCAGAGCAGAGCTGAACGTCGGGTTTGCTGGAAAGAGAGCAAGGCCGCATGCATGTGGGGAGGCAACAGAGGCACAGATGGAGGGGACAAGTGGGCCAGGAGGACCGTAGGAGGAGGGGTGTAAGGCTGGGCGGGGCTGAGGGAACTGCCTCATTCTGCACCCCTGGGAATCATGGAAAGCTCCTAAGTCAGGCTTCCAGTTTAGAGAGCCCCTTCAGATGTTGAGGGTGGCAGGCTGCATCTGGGTAGCACAGACAGAGAGACTGAGGCTGCAGAACACTGTAACATTGGAGTCGGTGCCTTGGGGCTCAGTGCAGCTCATTCTAGTAATGTCCCAGGGACCAGTATGAGGAACCTCAGGGCTGTGGCTCTGCCTCCACATGCCCACCTGTCTCACCCAGGCCCATCCGAAGGTACCTGGAGGAGCTGGATGAATTTGCACGGGAGAACATCTACTCTCTGTACAAGTTTATCTTCAGTGAAGGCAGGGGCCCCACCAGGACCACCCCTGCAGCTGTTGGCCCAGGAACTATGTTGCCCTTGTGGCTGGACCAAGAGCTCCATCTGCAGAGGCTGAATGAACCGGGTAACCAGTACAAAGTGGAGTTCAGACTTGTGAGTGTCCCCAGCCCTGATGGGGCTGGGCGGGGGGGTTCACCGGTACTGTCCACCCTGAGAGCATGGTATGGGAGTAGGGAGGCAAGCCAGGGAGGCAGGCAAGGGGACTGGGGCCACAGGAGTGACCCCCACATCCCCCAGCGCAACACCACAGGTGGGACTGCTTCAACCGCACCTACTCCTAGGGTGAGAAGGCTGTCTGGCAGTGGTACCACTTCCAGTACATGAACATCCCAGCCACTGTCCAGCAAGATAGCCACCAGAGCCACTTTGTCCTATTCTGCAAGAACAACTGGAAGGATTTGTCCAGCTGGGTGAGGAATGGGGCAGGGTAGGTGCACCCCTGGGGGTTCCTGGCTGGAGGCTGGCCACACACAGCCCCTGCCAAGATAAGGCAGGCCGTGACCCCTCTTGCCAATTGCAATTGGGTGGTGGGGCACCCGTCAATGGCATAGGCCTGTTTGAGCCTGGCCCCTCATTGCAGGAGCTTCGAGACCTTCCACCATCCCATCTACGGCAGCTGCTATATTTCAATAGCATCTTGGCATCAAAGCACCAAGACACCAGTAAAGGTGAGGGTGATAACTGGACAGTGGTCGGGGTCAGGGGGGTAGGCAAGAAGGGAGCCAGGTAGAGGTGAGGATGGTGGTGGCTTGGGCCAGGGTGTAGGCAGAGCAGGCTGGGCAAGGATATGGGCAGGGAGATGGGGTGGGCTCGGTGTGGGCAAAGGACCAGGTTGGAAAGTGCTGGGTGTGGCTGGGGGAGTCGGCTAGGGAGTTCACCCCATCACCTTCCTGCAGGCATCAGTCTGGTGCTCAGGGTTGAGAGGCAGGACCACCTGCCTCTCCTGTGCACGGAGGCTGGCCTAAAGGTCATGATCCACACACACAACCATACGCCCTTCCTGGAGCCTCACTTCCTGGAGCCCCAGAGCTTCAGCATCCTGCCCCGTACCAAGAGAACAGTGGGCATCCAAAAGGTGGTGGGTGGTTCTCCTGGGGTGGGTGGGGCCTTTGGAAGGGCGAGGTCCCAGGGATGGTGGGGCCTTGGGGCGGGGCCTTGGAAGGGTGAGGCCTGTGTGCATGTGCAGGGGAACTGAAGCGGCTACCCTCCCAGAAGGAGGTAGGTACGTTGGCTCCAGAGCCCCTATGGGAACTGCGTGGACAGAGAAAAGGGTGCAGACATGCCGCTGCTGTACAACACATCCTACACCAGGCAGGTGTGGTTGCCAGGAGGGGGAGCACTCAGGGCAGCCACCACCCTCCCTCACCCTGGGCAGAGCACCCAACCCCACACTTGGGACAGTGAGAGGCAGCGGCCGCGAGGGGAAGGTGGCAGTGCAGTCTATGCAGTTACCCCTCAGGAGGGATCCCAGGTTCCATCCCCTCTTGTCCACACAGGCCTGTGTGGTTTCCTGCTTCCAGCAGCTGATGGTCAAGAAATACACCTGCGGCTACTACCGCTACCCCCTGCCGGTGGGGGCAGGGTACCACACCTACACCAGGCATCTGGCCTAGAGTGAGCCCGCCTACCCCCTTGCACCAGCCACCTGGCCTAGGATGAACCCTACCACCCGCCTGGCCACTAGGGGTGGAGTCACACCAATTCACCCCGTATCTCCAGGCCACCCTTGGGTTGCTCCTAAGGGGTCCATCCATAACTGCACACCCACCCCCTCACCCCCTGACAGGTCACTGCTTCTACTGCCTCTACCAGGAGCTAGAAACTCACAGCCTCTCCTGCTTTTCCCTCTGTTCCAGGCCTTGCAAGTGAGTGGAGGGCACTGGATATTAGAGGTCACAGCCTTAGGTACCACAGCAAGGGGCTGACAGGAGGGTCTGTCTCTCCCAGTGAGTCCTTGTACAAGCTCTCCATGGGGACCTCCAGGTGACCTTCACCCAAGTCTGCCATGAGTGCTTTAGACCTGCCCCTTGGTGCTGGGTGTGTGGGGCTGGGCAGGTGGATGGGGCCACATGGGAACTTCTGTGTGTAGGACTGGATCCTGGCTGTGCTGGAGAGTCCCCAGAACCAGAACCAGGGCCCAAGGTGGGTTTGCAGCCCCCCCCTCCAGGGGGTCATGCCTGGCCCTCTCCCTGACAACCTCACCCTTTAGTGCCCCTTCCCTTCATGGGCCCCCAAGCAGGTACCCCACCATACATCATACCACACCAGTCCCCTCATACCTCTGTTCCCACCCAGGAGCAGCATCACCAAAATGATTATCTACGAGAGACTCAACTACCTCAAGATGAGAGAGATGCCATTAGTGAGCCAACAGGTGGGATGGGCTAACCTGGGGGGGCGGGGAAAGGGCTACCATGTACCCAGGGCCCTGCCCAGCTCACGGTCAGCCTCACCACAGGTGGAGAAACTGTTCTCTGAGATGAAAAATCTCATGGGCCAGTGGTTTGGCATGTCCATGCTCTCCCTACTGGAGCTGCTAGAGCTGCTGCTTGACGCATGGCTCTCGCTCTGCTGCTGGGCTACCACCAGCTCCATGAAGCATGGGCATCCCAGTCAGGGTCCAGCACGGCAGCAGGGACACTCCATGCCCCTCTGGAGGCTGGCCAGTTGCCCTTCAGCTGCCGGCACTAGGTCAAGCATCCAGGGGGCCAAGCCGGCCTCATCTTCCACAGACACTTCCAGGGGTCCTAGCGGGAATCTCAGCTGAAAAGTTAGAGTGGGCTACTCCCCAGACTCCCAGCACTGAACCAGTCCTGCAGGGGCCAGAAGTCATTTTGCCTGATCCTGGGGCTTTGGCAACATTAGGTTGTCCTGATCACCCAGGGTGGGCCAGGAGGTCCAGGAAGCTCGGTGCCTGGCCCACACTGAGCAGGTGCCGGGGGTCCGGCACATCCAGGTCTCCCATGGGCCCAGCTGCCCTCCATGGAGGTGGCATCCCTGGTCTCAAGGAGACCCAGGCCCAGGAGGAGCAGCATCCACACCACTCTGGGCTTCCGTATTTCAAGAATGACCCCATGTCCTGTGTGCCTGTGTACTGCTGTGTGTGCCTCTGCCTGTGTATCTTTGTGTATGCGTGCATGCGTGTGTGTCTGTGGAGGTGGGTGTATGTCTGTGTCCATGTGTGTGAGGGACTCCCCTGTGTTTCTGAGTTTGTCCACACAACTGGGCTTGTCTCTGTGCTAATGTCAGGTGGATCCTGCCCCACCTTCAGGGCAGCTTCTGTTGAGCTGGCTGAAGGAAGGATTGTTGTTGTTGTTGTTGTTACGTGCCGTCGAGTCAAACCCGACTCATAGCGACCCCTCCTTGGGTTTCCGAGGCAGTATCACTACGGAAGTAG